TTTAACTTTAATTCATTTCAGCATGCTTTTCATCTTTGATTGTTTCATGTGATTCAAATTTTTCAATTGTAGTCCTTAATTCTATTGAATTTGCTTACAGTCATCATGATGTTATCGTCAAGTAGAGGAAAGGTCAGGAGTTAGTGAGAGAGCAATTAAGTCAGGCAACACCGCAGGCGAGTCTCCCCGAGAGGCATGATAGGTGTGAAGTGAGATCTTTTAACACGTTGACGACAATCGCGTTTTGCGGGAAAGCGCCACGTGGGACAATGGCGTGCTTTCGCATGCGTCCGCCCTGAGCCACCGGTGGCTCATATTGTCCCTCGTGGACCACTTTTTTGCCGCTATGTCAAATTTCGCAAAATGATAAGTCAATCGTGCAGGGACTGCTATTTCAACCATCTTGACCCTATTGGATGCCATCTCATGCCCCGCCCTCTGCGATCACGCCCACTTTTTAGCGCGATCGTGATTTCCAAAATGTGTACCATAACTTCCGTTTCTGAGAATTTTCTTGGAATTTTCTGCTTTTCACACATTACAATGATTCATGGCCACACCGACACATAGCCGGCCACGCCCACTTTTTAACAGGTTTGTTTTATATTTAATTTTCATACCTTATCTCAACGTTGACGCTTTCAAACACACTCTTCACATATTGCTCACAGACAAGCAATTGCACGAAGATGCATAAGGCTCCGCACACTTAGCTCCGCCCACTTTAGATCGATTTTCGCGATTTCTAGCAATATTTTATTATCACTATTTATCCATATTTTCTTCCCACTATCCATATTTTATCACTTGTTCACCATCTCAAGATCACCAAACGGCTCCGCCCACTATGAGAGGCCCCTGCCACTTCGCACAAGCTCCACCTACACCTGCGAAAATGCCTTGATCTGGAAGTACAGAGTCTCGCTCGTAGACCAGAAGAAGCCAGACTGCTTCACTGGGGAAACTGCGTGCTGTGGATCAATAACTACCAAGAACAACCATATAGGAACTCCTTGCGGATGCCGTTCATGTGGGATGTCAAATCACCTAGGTGTAGAGGTTTCTATCAAATTCTGTGTCAAAAAGATCGCTGGCGCCAGGTGGCGTCAACTTTGGAAGGAAACGATACATTCATGACAAGGATGTCAAATAACCTAGGTGTAGAGGTTTCCATTGGAATCGGTGTCAGAAGGATCGCTGGCGCCAAAGTGGCGCCCGCTGGCGCCAAGTGGCGCCCGCTGGCGCCTTGGCGCCGACTCCGGAAGGTAACAATATATTCGTGACAAGGATGTCAAATAACCCAGGTGTAGAGGTTTCTATCAAATTCGGTGTCAAAGAGACTGCTAGCGCCAAAGTGGCGCCTACTGGCGCCATATGGCGCCAATGACAAGTGAGATCTCACGTTCATGATCAGAAGACCCGCGCAGTCCCTGCAGCCAAGGTTTCGTCCAAAAAGAACTATTTTGGAGGTTTCTGCCGCAGCAGTAGCTAGTTGAAAAATTTCAATTTTTAATTCAAAATATCTCATGGGGCAGCAACATTTTTCTTGCTCATCCTTGTTGGAAACTCACCTTCCACAGGTTACTCGAAAGCAAGAAAAAGATCGATTGAGACTGCCGGCAATAACCCAAAAAGTGATGGAGAAAGTCATGAGCCACCGGTGGCTCAGATTGTCCCACGTGGCCACTCACTCATGAGCCACCGGTGGCTCAGGATGTCGTCAACGTGTTAAGAAAGTCCTACACCCGGTCCCCTTACCCCACAGGCGAGCGAGATTGTGAGAAATGGTCATTAGGAAGGTAGTGTGGGAGGTCAGTCGTGACTAAAGATCTGCTTCACTTGGACGTTCTTTGCATGTTGCCCAGAGTAATGTTCCCAAGACGTCATATAAGGCGCACTTAAATGTGTAACGTGCCACATAACTCTTTATTGGTCCACTGAGCGCCAGTCTGTTTGTGGTAACCACCCATTCATGACATTCGATTCTGAGCAGCTTACGCACCCTATTTCGTTTTGTATCGACTTTTGATGCGTAGAAAAACGAACGGGTGTGGAGATTACGACAACATACTTGTTCATATGACATGTGTTTGAAACTGCATGTGGAGTAGTTGTTTCCCTTCTCAATCTCTTCAGCCATTTCTTGTCTACTTATCGTAAGCTCTAGTGATGTTGGGTAGCGAAATCCTAATTTTGGATTGATTGTATGGCTTGAATGGGCGAAACTCTCTGGTTTCTGATGGCTTTCTTCGTGCTTTTCGTTGTTTGGCGTGTTCAATGTTGGAACTAACGTTTTTCCTTTTTTTGCTCACTGAGATGCTACTGATAGAATTTGAATGAGTAGGCCTATCTAATGAATTAGTCGTATTAGATTAATCAAGCAATCAAGTCAGTGTCTTGAAGAAAACACTTCAACAATGAATAAATAAAGCAAGGATGCTATCACAAGAATGCTGAGTTGTGGGCAAAAGTCGTGCCCCAGGCGGGAGTCGAACCCGCACCTCACGCTTTCCGGGCGAGTGCGCTGTCCGTTCGCTTTTATGCCGTAGACTTACAGCACTCACACGTTTAACTTGGTGGTAGCCATAAAAGCCGTTAAGCTGAGAGGGTAAAAGCGGCCCTGGTGGCGTAACGGATAGCGCACTCGCCCGGAAAGCGTGAGGTGCGGGTTCGACTCCCGCCTGGGGGTGCACGACTTTTGCCCACAACCAGTGATAACCGGAACGCGTACTGCGGCTTCAAACAGCAGTTATCATAACGAAAAAAAGCAAGAATTGTTCTCTTCATCTTCCTACATGTACATCTGGCAAATATTGGTGTATTGATTAGAACATTTGAAAATATCATGAGAACTGATGTCAGCATTTCAGACAGTTGCTCATGATGCGTATGATTCAAGAAGGTCGATACGAATTTCGAAAAGAACAGTGGGCTACCATCACACAAGAAGCAAAGGATATGGTAAGCGTTCGAGCGTACGAAGCAGTCTGCTCTATGACTGGCAGTGACGAGTGCTTTGATTTCTTAGAATTTTGCATGTTTCTGTCTCTAAACATGTGTGACATAATAGGCGGAGGGCTCACTTCGTTTCTTGTGGGCAATGAAGATAGGGTGTCAGTATTTCAACAGAAGCGCGTGGAAGAGCAGCTAAATTTGCTGCTGCGAAATCATCGCCCCACTGCAATAGCCCAACTTTTTTTCCAAAGCGAACGGGGAGTTCTGAGGGATGAATGTGCAGTAGATTCAACATGTTGGCTGACAAAGAAGCTACTCGTTGCCTTTGAACCCAAAATATGAGAAGAACGTTGAGAGAATTCTTCAAAACTTATAATTGTGGCTTAAGCAGTCATCTATATTAACTGTCCGATTGTTTCAGATATCCGGATTGTTACGAGTTAACGTAGCAGAAAGGCTAACCGCTAAGCAATGTTTGATGGAGCCATGGATGAATCCAACAGCTGAAGTGTATCCGAAAGAGAATATGCGGAAACTCTTTAGACAGGTTCGTTTCGCTTACTGTAGTTTTGATCTGCTCTTCCCATCTTCTCTTTTTCTGACTAATTTTCTTTCCATTGCTCTGATTTTCTTTTTCGTCTTAAAATGTCATTTCAGTCTATCATTTTGGTACGGTTCCTTTGTCGCCTCAGAAATTACAAGTATCTCAAGACTTTGGTCGATCGTGAATCTCTTCGCAAGCGTCCGTTCAGAGATCGGGACGTGAGTTCTTTTTTTTTTTGTTTCATCCATCTTGAAAGTGCGCACAATGACCGTTTTCATACTGGCAATCACAAAGTAGTCCAGCTTTATTCGTTGTGGGTGTAGGGGCGTGTCAGGCGCGAGTTCGGCGTGGAATCCGGCCCGTTTTCTACCAGCTGATGATGCAAGCAAGCGACAAGATTGTATCATATCGCTCGTATTAGTCATTTTCCAGCAACTTTTGTCGCTTATCCGTTTCAAAAACCGATGGAACGAGTTGGGTGCCGAGCTAGACCCATCCCTCCTGGCACGTCCCTTTCATCCCGCAGCGGACAAGGCTGTAGACAGAATTTCGAGTGCAAATTTCAAGCTGCTCTGCGAGTGGTTTTGCATGAGACAGAATGATCTGTTAGGCTGGTCATTTCCTGTATGAGCGTAGCTGCACGTCTTTGCTCTTCTAGTTCACACCACAATATATGTTGTATTTGTTATTTTTTGTAATTTTCAGATTCGACACGAGGCGGAGTCTGCGATCTTCTCTGTTTACGGTCACTGGGTTAATCGTGGATTTTATTATTCCCGCGACATGCTCTTTGCCAATAGACCGCGGCCGAAATATCAGAAGACTGAAGCTTAGAACGTAGTAGTCAGTAGAGTCCTGCTCCCAATGTTGTCTAGAACCGAGATCGTCGAACGCAGATCATAGATGAAATCTAGTTAGGAAATTTGATCCGGTGTGTAGGATCTTTCACTAGAATAGGTCTTACGTTATTAGGTTCAACATGTTGTTACTAACATAATAAGGGCTCTCAGATGTGGCCTGTAATAAAGACAAGGTGATTTTTGTGCTGCAATTCCTATCGATTCTCCTTTGTAGTTTTCTGTGGCCCGCTAGTGCTCCCTATTTAGTCCACTAACAAGTACCAAATAGTACCGTATGTTTTAGGATATTCTCATTCGCTAATTTCTGATAGATCTAAACACTTTTCTGCCAATGATTCTTGTAGGTCATGAGTGATTAACTGCCTCGGAGTAGAGGAGCTTTATTAATTCATATTGATTTATCCAAGTGGAAAACGGATTAAGTTGATTAGACTCGTGATTGACATGAAACGCTGGCGTCAAAGTGTTTATTTCCTCTTAGGGCATGTGATTTGAGTAAGTTACTTCGACTAGACAAGTTTAGTTCATGATGCCGTTGATCCACAATTGTTTTCATTTGCTGTAGATTTGTACATTGTTGTATATAGTGATTAACCGGTAGCTTTTACTAATGTGTGTTTTTGAAAAGCTTAAAGCATTTCGTAACGATGTTTTAGTTGTCGAACATCAGATTCGGATTTCGAAATGCCTACCTATCCATGATTTGAGTGTTCAAAATAAGATATTAGGCGCTACTATGGTTGGCTTATGTGACACGACAATCGCAATTCGCCGCACTAGTTAGCGTCGCGTGCGACTCGCGCGCGCAAATGGCAGTGTTTTGAATGGTGGCAGTAGAATCCATAGCCAAAAACAGCAGTAATTGCCTATGATATCATAATCTATGGAAAAGCGGTGCTCCAGTCGACGGTATATACAATTTTAGGGGTCGGCGCGCGCCTCGGTGCGGCAAACTGCGATTGTCTTGACCGTCTACCACAGTGGTTATGCGATATTTCATGCGCAGCGACCAAGTGGGCTTCTCTGCGCATTCCAGCAGAGCCAGCGATTCCTCCAGGACAAGGGTATCTTCAGCGGTTGAGAATGGGCGGTCGTTTGATGTATGGGAGGGGGATCGTATTTGAAAGGTTTTTCATTGTTGCCTTTCATTGTTTGAGGTGGTCTACCATGTCTCACACGCTTGCTTGGGTTGGGATATATCATCCTAGAAACGTCCCCACCCATTGTGACTAGGGCACCTCGCACGTTAAGGTCCCCAGTGGGGAGGATACATTGGAGCATTGTAGGGGAAGGGGTCGTAATCGCCCTTGAGAACAGCGTTTTTGGTTGTTGACTCCCCCTCTTCCTTGTCGACGGCAGTTTTTCCGATGAAATGTGGGAGTATAAAAAACTCCGAAAGAATGCTAGGGCGACGGAAAATTCAGGAGGGTGGTAGATAAGATGGGAAGGAGGTGGTCATACCAATGGAGGAAATTCCGAAGGGGAGGGGTGGTTTTGAAGTACTATGCAGAAACTTTCGGCGGTACGACGTACCCTGATCGTGACAAGTGCCCTGCTCAAGATTCAACCCAAGGGGAATTCAAACGACCGGAGTGCACGGTCTTTGCACTAACCCCCCTCGCCACCCCTCCCATGTACCGCCAAAAATTCTACTATTTTTAAGCCTCACTTCTACGAAAAACTGTAGCGGTATTTGACGAATGTGATTCCGTGAAGAACTGTGGGCACCACGTTCAGCGACGTGCACAAATTAATCCAAAATGAGGTGGGTAATATGAGATAGTCTTAAAGAATCTGCAAAATTGTCCAATTAATCGGTTTTGAATTTGTCGATGCAGGATAGATGTTGATGGATTGGAAGTCTTATTTCCCTACGATTATGTCTACCCAGAACAGGTGTTGTATATGCAGGAGGTGAAAAAGGCTATTGATGCTCAAGTAGGTTCAATTGGCAGTGAAGAAATTAGGTCGTAGCTCCGAAATTTTATTCCAGGGGCATTGTCTTTTGGAGATGCCATCCGGTACAGGAAAGACGGTATCTCTTCTCTCCTTGGTTATTGCTTACATGAAAAGGTTTCCTGATCGCTTAGGTATAAAGGATTTTCCACGAAAGGCCGTTCTGGTCAGTGTTCTGACTGAACCAATTCCAGATAAACTGGTATATTGTTCACGAACAATTCCTGAAATTGAAAAATGTATGGAAGAATTGCGAGCTTTATACAAGTTCTACGAGCGGCAAACTTCGGTGAGAGTTTCGCTGGTTCGGGTTGTAGCGGCTAGGTTCTTCGGGCGTGTAGTGATGAACGCATTGCTTCAGAGTGCTCCTCCATTTGTGGCTGTGGCGATGTCTGCTCGAAAGAATCTTTGTATCAATGAATCTGTGGCATCATTAAGGCAAGGTGGGTTCATCATGCTGAATAAAGCTACTCTGGGTTTCCGGAAAAGCAAAAGAAAAACCAACAGAAAGCTGAATAGACAAAAAATTGGAAGACATGTGCACGTGGGTATCTTTATCCTTTTTTCGTGATGTTTTCAAAACGGGGGAAAGTGGTTCTTTCTTGGATTGTACCGGGAGAATTTTTTACTTATACATGGTGGTCTTGAGTAGGAAGAAGCAAAACAGCAATGCTAGTAGTCATAGAGTGTTTATAAAGCTTTCTAGCTGAAGTATATCGTCGTGGAGTAAACAACGAGGGGGACCATGTTTTCTTTCGTGCAGTACACCGTCCCCCATCCTTCACTCAAACTGGTAGTAATCCCACTTGGAAAAGGTGAGCAGGATTCAAAGTGGAAGGAAGTCGTATTAGAGAAGATGGTCGAGGGGATGTCGTGAGTCCGGCTCGAAGGGGGCATTTCCTGGATTCCTTTTGTTATTTCATGTTGTATAGCAAACTGTAAACTGTAAAGGGGTACCTGCAAACTTCTGTTAAGCCGCGAAGCATTTCGACTCAGCCCCTTTGCTCACAATAATTTACTGGTTATCACAACATGGCCTGTTCAAACTTAGCAGCGTTCCATCTGGTGCCCCCACCAAGCCAACCGTTGCCTCGCCTCCATGCCGCTGTTTCTAACATCCTGTTATTACTACAGACTGGCCAGTACTTATGCATAAATGATGTCATGCTGTTCTTTTTAACTTTTGGTGTCTCCACTGAGTTTCCATCAGTTTCCATCAATATTTGTGCGTGCTATCAGGTTCGCTGGTGGATAGTGGTTGTCAAAGACTGACTGCTAGTTTCGTACGTGCACGTCGTCAGTTTGATTCGTCCATTCCGTCGTGTCCGTTTTTCGAGACTCTTAACGCTCAGCAACAGTTCAGCCTATCTCCTGGAATATATAATCTCGTAGGTTTCCTTTTCGTTCACCAGTAAGCTAAAATCAGCATGAAGTTTGAAGAAATGAGCAGCGAGCCAATAGTTGTGGGCTTTCTTTCTATTAGCCAAAATGTTATAGAGTGATCTCAAACAAGTGGGTCATGAGCGTGGTATTTGTCCCTACTTCGTTGCTCGAGAAGCAATCAGAAAAGCGTCAATAGTGGTGTACTCCTATCACTATATTCTCGATCCCAAGATCGCGGAACTGGTATCTAAGGACTTCAGTCGCAGGTATATTGATTCATTTTAATGGTTCATTCTCTTTGAGTTTCTCTTACTATGCCCTCGTATTGTTGCCAGTTGATGAGCAAGGTGAGACCAGGGATGCACCAAAGGAAAGACTGAGGCATCATTCGCTATAGCGCGTTGTCTTTAAACCCATACCTGGTTTCATCAATATCTACTACTTCAGAATGCTTTTATCCTTTGCGGCAGCGTTGTGAGCGTCTGTCAGCATTTTGTGCATTTTGAGCAACTTGGAGAGTGTAGGTATTGATCTAGCATTTTGGGCGTTCGCTGGCGTTTTGAGCGTTTTAAGCGTCTACCGGCGTTTTGGCCTTCACCAGCGTTTTCAGCGATAACTGATACTTGTGCTCTCTGACAAGGGAGGTCGTTCAGGGCGTGCCCGCTTTTAAGGAGTGGTTCTTTGCACTTTGTAGGGCCTTGCCCATGAACCATAAAAGTGGGCTTCATTTTCGCTGAGCGGCCCCTGGAATGCCAAAAAAGGAGCGAAAAAGAAACCTATGGAAACTGATTGTTTTTGAGCCTCTACGGGCTGTGTAAACCGCTTGAAACTTTGACCAGTTGCTGAGTGGAGGGGACCCTATAAAGGTACTATTGGAATAGAACTGAAAAGTAGTCGGGGTATGGGTCTTACTTGTGGCACGTAACCAAGAGTGAACGGCTTCTTGGAATGGTTTCTTCAACGGTCGGAGCAGTGATCAGCAACAACGATCGGATGGCCTAGTGGATAGCGTGGAGGATTCTCAAGCGGACAGTGGGGGTGGGGTTGATGGTTCGACTCCCCTCGGCGTGCGAGTTTTTGCATTTTTCATGTTTTGCTGTTTTCACGTTCGTGTCTGTGCGTGAGTATAATTTCGATAACTGCCATTTATGGGCACATTTCAATGGGGATACTCCATGAATCGGTGCTATTCAATTATTTCAGGTTTTACATACCATTAAGCAAGACCGTAATTGAAAGTTGATCTTTATAGGTCAGACCATGCTCGAATCTTATTTATTCTAGTCTCTGTTCTGCGTTGCAACCGCGCACGTCTGGACCGCTTTTTCCTAGTGCATCTGTCTGGCATAATTGTATGCGTTTAGTTTCAAATGATGCCCGAATCACGAATATGGAACTTATTTGTAGCTACGGTGCCATTTATCGCTAATATGGAGTGACATGTTTCTCCCAATGAATGCGTTTGCTACACACAAGTAAGGGATGTGTAGCGCTACCCAGGCGCCAAATTACGTCGGCGCCGTAAGTGTGAAAATCATGATCGGGGCCATCGATTACCCTGTAGCCACCTCCTCAGATCACCTTTCGGCTAAAAAATTTTTTTCGACTTTTTGGGTTGTGCCTGACAGTCTTTCTATAGAAGTCCCCAGTGCCTCGCCATAGGGACCCCCTATTTTATTAATAACCAAGCATAAAACTAACAATATCGATGAAACTCATGCAAAGAGGAGGGGAAAGGGAAGTATTCGTCCGCGTTGGCTTGAAAAAAGTTGAGGAACCTGAATGAGTGCAATTTCTGTTTCGTTAGGGAGATTGACATCCGTATTGAGCGAGCAGGCGGCAGGAGTTGGCAAAGGCGCACAGTGCTTTTTCCAAATCGGAATGCCGACCACCCACACTATCGCCAAGCATGGAAAGACCTTGGGCGCGCTCTTGCGACACTGCTGTCCTGTTCCGGCGGCCTGCTACGTCGTCATTCCATCATCGTCTTTACGAAGATGTGATACTCCGTTCACCACTGCCGACCAAATGGTCCACCAAAACCCGAAAAAT